ATTTTAAGGTTTGCTATCATAACGTGTATAATCCCATCATCTTGTTAATTGGGCCTTGCTAAGAGCAAAGGCACTTCTTGACTTCTCATCCACCAATCCAAGATCTTCCTAAGTTTCCCAAATATAGACTCCTATAATACAGAGATCCTACCTCATCTCGTGCTAAGGAGCTCCGATTTCTCGGGACGGTATCGCTTGGCGTAACACCAGGATTCGGAATGCTCGAAGATCAGCCTCTCGAGGCTTACTGGGCTTGGGGCGATGCCAGGGCTTAGAGTGCTCGAGATTTGATCTTTCGAGACTTAAGGGTCTGGAGCGATGCCAGGGCTTAGAGTGCTCGAGATTTGATCTTTCGAGGCTTGAGGGTCTAGCGCGATGCCAGGGCTTAGAGTGCTCGAGATTTGATCTTTCGAGGCTTGGGGGCCTGGCGCGATGTCAGGGCTTAGGATGCTCGAGATTTGATCGGCTTGGGGGCCTGGCGCGATGCTAGGGCTTAGGGTGCTCGAGATTTGATCTTTCGAGGCTTGGGGTCCTGGAGCGATGCTAGGGCTTAGGGTACTCGAGATTTGATCTTTCGAGACTTGAGGGCCTGGAGCGATGCTAGAGCTTAAAGTGCTCGATCTTTCGAGATTTTTGACTTTTCAACTTGCCACGGAGGATTTAGCCAAGGTTGTATTGATTTGTCAACGTGTCACATCAGCGTCTGATAAGTGACACCCACACAAGTTCATCAAATGGAGCAGTGAATTTTGCAAGGACTATATCTGTGTAAGACTTTATGAGTAATGTATTTGTGGCAGTTGTCATTTTGTTGATTATCATATAAAAGTTTTCTGTTACAATTTTTAAATTTGTGTTTGATATCGAAAGCCTGAAGTATTTAGGATTAAAATTCTTTTGATTCAAACAAAAAATTGATGGAACTTTATGTATATCCAAAAACCCAATGTATTGGAATTTTTTAGCTGAAATTGTTTAATTACCTCATAGAAAATGGTTCTAATCATTTCATATCCATACTTTATTATTATTTTTTGGACCATTTTGAACTTTTCATTCAAGAAATTGCTTAAATATTTAATGAACGGAATTGATCAGTTACAACTTAAATATTTTTTTTCATGGGGTATAACAAATCTCATAGTTCTTATTAATGTTCTAATTAGGTTCTTATGCATGTTCAGGATCTTAAGGAAAGAATAAAGTTCGTAATACAAAAGTTGAGGGCTTTTGCATCAGCAAAAGAAAGTAATAATGATTTGATGCTTGCTAGTTCTTTTGTTCTCTTGGAAACAATACCATGATCTAATAATTCAAATTATCACTAATTAATACATACATGCAGATTTTCTTGAAATGATGGATGCTGTCAGGGTCGTACATACCACGGCTACATCGAGAGCTGCCGAATCAACCCGGAATGTAATTACAATTTCAATTATTGTTCACATTTTGTTTTTTTATTTGCTGGACTTCATCTCATGCTTTAATTGATTATCTTAAGCTGGAGATTTCGGAGATTTTTTTTTTTTTAGTTTTATTTATAAAATTGATCAGGGAGTGTATGGTTCAATTTGAGCAGTTAACTTTTACGTAAAAGTTTACAATACCTCGTAAAAATCTATAATATTTTAGGGTATCATATTTCGGAGGTTTTCAATGGTTGGACGTAGAGGTGGGACTCACCTATAGATATGTAATTTAAATTTTTTAAAAAAATAAAATTATCTAAAAAGTCAGGTTAATATTGTAATATCACATGCTCTATTAATTGAATTGACGTCTATAAAGGAAAGGAAAATGATAAAATCACCAATGGCCTATGAAGCACACGCACTCCTTCTGTGAAATGTCCAGAAATTATTTTTTATTGGACACGAGGTGAACACGGCTGAAACACGCGGAGGACACGTACTGGACACGGCTGGATATATTTTGTAATTTTTTTTTAAAGAAAAATCGGTTACTTAATATAATTTTAGAAGTTTAACTCTTTTGACTCTTTTGTCTGAGATTATGAGGTTTAGTTTGGTGTGATGGAATGGGGGTGGAATGGAATGACCATTCCGCTTTCTCATTTCTTTCTCTTGTTTAGTGTGCCACTTTAAAAGTGGAATGACATTCCCTTGGAATGCTCATTCTAGCTTTTAGATGGAATGACCATTCCTCTTTTGGACTTGTAGGATGGCCATTCCATTCCCACTAAATTAAAATAATAAAATGCTAAGGACAAAAAAACATACGTATTCTTCTCTACAGATCTGACAGGCTCTCTCCTCTCTCGCTAGGTCATGGTACACCCTCTCTCTCTCCTCTTTGTCTCTTTGCGCATAGTATACCATGGAATATATATATATAATATCCGCTAGTTGGGGAAAAGAAAAGGAAAGAGAGGAATTGATTAAAGGGAAAAAAAGATTCTTTTGCCCGTACGAGAATCCTTCTTCCTCTCTTTATTTCCAACTATGGATCTTCATGTTAGCCTAAGGATTTTATCTAAAGGTCAATCTTATATTTTGATGATTACAAATCATTAATGATGTTTAAGTACTAATATTTTCAATGAGTGATGTATAGTTGATCAACATTCAATTCTCAATGATGAGTTAGAAGATCCATTCCAAGCATTCAAGCAATGGATTCAAGGAAGCCTTAAAAGTTGCAAGAAATCAAAGGCATATTCAGTCAAAAAAAAACTGGGACTTCAAAGATCATTCAAGCATTTCAAAGAAAGAAAGCAAGAATACCTCAAAGCCTAAAGATCATGGACAAAGCATAAAGAAAGGGGTAGATAGGATGGTAAGTGTTTAGGATTCAATGTTAAAGTCTTTATGAATACATTTGAAGCTCATCTCTATAGGACCATGCATATCATACATTATTTATATGCTCCTGCATCATTAGCAATAGACTATGAACTTCACTATATATATATTTAACATATGAAATCTTTGCTAAGAATGAGTTAGTTCAAGCTTGCATAAGCTTTAAAAGAACTCACAACTTAAGCTAGAAATGCTAGGACTATACACATTAATCATAATATTTGTTTTGGTCTCTAGAAAGAAAAGGAAAAGGCATTGAACTTAATATTTCATCTTTAAAGTCTTTGTTACCATAAATTGGTAAATGACTCTAGAACACAATGCACTTGAAATTTATCAACTTCATATGTCCCTAGACTCTTAAAAACAGGTTTTGAACTAAATTGAACCATTCATCAAAGTCCTAGGTGCTAGAAAGATGGATATCTCAAAAGAAGCAATTTTTAGCCCACAAAAATTTCAGACCAACCTGTACTAAAACTGCTATAACTATTTTTGTAGTTAGAGTTTTTAAGTAAAGCTAGGTGCATTAGAAAGTTGACTTCGAGCCCTTGAGTTTAGACTCAAATTTTACCTAAAAAGGATTTGAATTGAATGAGATATGACTATCACAAGATGCATGTTTCTGGTCTGCGAAATTTATGACCAGGTTGAACTAAAATAGTCATAACCATTTCTGTGGTTGGAATTTTTGAGTAAGGCTGGTGGCATTAGAAAGATGACTTCAAGGCAATAAATTAAGACTCAAATTTCATCTCATTTGGAATTAAATTGATTAAGTTATGTCCATTTGAAGTCATGCTCTTTTCTGTCAAATCCAAAATTAGGAACAACCTCCATGAAGAAAGAGCCGCCTCTATAAGAAATAGAGTCAGCTCTCTCAAGGGAATGGAGAAGGCTCCATAAAAAATAGAGAAGGATCTATGAAAGAAAGAGAAGGCTCCATGAAAGATGGAAAAGGCTCCATGAAGGCTCTCACAACTCCAGTAGGCTTTTTTAACGAAAAACTAATTCTTCTAACCAAAGAAAAGGCTCCTAAAATGGGGAGCATGCTCTCAAAGGCTGGGAGCCGACTCCATGCAATGGAGAGCCGGCTCTCAAGGCTAAGGAGCCGCCTCCTCTTGTTTTACAAGAGCCGGCTCCTTCTAGGGTTTTGAACTGTAACGAAAACTTTTTCATTTATTGATCCCCAACCACTTCTAACAGCTATATTGAGTTACGAACTTCTATATGTATATAGAGGGCTTGTCTACTGAAACATACACCATTTGAGAGACATTATATTACATTGCAAAGATAGCTTTTGTTCTCATCTTCTCTTCATCTCTCTCATTCACTCTTATTCTATCTTGGGAGATTCTAGTAAGATTAAAAGGGCTTTTACTCTTGTTTTAATCTTCATAGAGTTTTTGCTCTATTATACACTTGAGAGATTCTATTGAATTCATAGGATCTTATATTCTTCACATATTTCATCTTCTCTCATTCATTTCATTCATAGAGTTTAAGTTTCATTTATATTCATCAATACTTTAGTTGTGAGCTAAAAATTGTACTACTATCTGTGAGAGATTTATTGTACACTTCATTACTATTACAAGTTGTAAAGGGTTAGTGTGACCCAAAAGGAAGCCTAGGAGAATGGTGTTCTCCTAGCAAGAAAAAGAAGGAAGGTCTTGCTTCAATTGAAGGTTTGCTCTCCACTATTAAGGAGAAGCTCTAAGGAATTTGAGAAGTCTCAAGAGGGATCTTGAGCCGAGGAGTGTCGGTCTTCGTACTACATAGCCAATGACAAATAGCAAATATTATGTTTAATTTGATATTAATATTGAGAAAATTCTGATGAATACACCTTGCATGTATAATCGTCTACAAGAATCTAGAAGAAGGGCTGTTTGGCTTTTCTTCATGGGAAAAGTAATTGATCTCCTGATGGAATTGAAAAACTGAAAATGCACGCAAACATTAAATTGCAGCCGTACACGTATATAGGATTTTGATCTTGAAATGTAAATTCATCCCTAACACACACACACGTATATGTCAAAATTGAGGAATATTCCTTCTTCTTTTCTTCTTACATTTCAGCTTCTTTTTTCCTTTTTTTGAAAAATAAAAAATAAAAAATTTGTATTTGTCGTTCATATCCTTTAAATACCCATTAATGACAAGTCTTTGAATCAACCATATTTGCCTCAACAAAAAACAAATAAAAGTAGTTACGAAATCTGTTCTTTTCTCTCTCCACTGCAAATATGGCTTTGAAGGCTGTTCACGTCTCCGACGTTCCCAATCTTGATGCCACATTGGCTCTCTGTCCCACTCTCTTCTCTAATGGTCTGTTTTTGTATTTCATTTGAACAGTCTTTTTTGGAACAAATAATTATTGATTGGGATTATAATTGATTACAGAGATTGAAGGCGATGTTGGTGATCATGGTACGACGTCGTTCGAGCTGCCCAACAAGTTTGTGGTGATGGGACACAGAGGGAGTGGAATGAACATGTTGCAATCGCCTGATCGGAGAATGAAAGCCATCAAAGAGAATTCAATTCTCGCCTTCGACGCTGCCGGAAAATTCGCCCTTGACTTTATTGAGTTTGATGTTCAGGTGAGACCATTCATTCAATTGAATCCCCTCCCTTATTATTTTTCATTTTTTTTTTTTTTAATTTATTTTAAACTTGAAATCCAGACTTTCAAAATATGAAGTTTGAATCTAAATCACGTGATCGACTCATAATTCTTCCATTCATTTTGTATGCATCGAACCAGAAAATTTTCCTTGGTTTAAGAATTTCAGACTCGTTACCTTCAGAATCATATCTGTGATCGATTCAACCATTATTTTTTCAGAAGCTCTGTCACAAAATGTAACCACGAGTCGCCGCAAACAAGCAGATTTAACAGCCTTAGTTTCATCCCACGTGGTGAATTATTACGAAATCACGTGGTAAAGTTGTCCAAAACTACTTTAAAGAAAGAAAAAAACACAAAAGAAACTTGTCCAAAATAGGTTAAAGAAAATAATGGATTCTAGGTTAGACTAAACCTTTAGGTTCAGACCTGACCATAATGGCTAGACTCACTTGACCACGAGAGGTTAGGCTCGGTGGGTTGGGTTAGATATTAGGAGAGGAGAGAATAAATCAAAACAAATGAATTAAATTTGCAAATGAGGCCAGTGGTATTTGTAGACCTAGAGGTGTCTGATTGGGCCTGGCCGAATTGTTACTAGACACAATGGTTTGACCCGAACATGCATGGGGTGTAACCCTTGGGCCCGAGTAGGTATGGCCCAACTAATACCTATTTGGGTATTAAACATCCAAACAGTGCAAACACACCTTGGTTGATCCGAATTGATTCTGGGTTTTCTTGTTAATAGATTTTGGTTCTAAAAAGATTTATTTAATCTGGATAGCCCATACACACACTCTTAAAAGCCCAATAGGCCCAGTCCATTTCAATTATTCTTTTTAATAAAAGCAATAATCATTTTTATAAAAGAAATGCACCATCAATTTATTGATTCAGAGCAAAATTATAAAAAATAATCACGCCCAAAGCTTGCTTAAGTCTTCCCCCCTCTTAAAAACTTAAGTAACCTAAGGGCCAAACCCAAATGTCAACTTAGGAGTATATTAACTCGAGGCATTTTCAACTTCCGACAAACATTTCACACACCTACTCCTTTCAATTCTTTATAAGCTTATTAAACACCTCACTTTTGAGTTAATTTCTCATTCCAATGGATTTGAAAAAATAAATATATCACGCTCATCTACTCTCGGAGAGGAAAGTGTTTGGTTACATATCCCCCAAAAACGATTAACGGGCTCAAAGTTGGCCTATACTTTCCAACAATATTGCGGCAAAATAAATGGAAACTTCAAATGATTTTCACAAAATGTCTAGGATATGGAGTAATTTGTAAAAGTGTGAAAGTTTAAGAGTATTTTTATGCTGTCTAAAGTAAATGGTAATATAAATCTTTTAACACTTGGGTGATTTCTACTTTTCAGTGTTAGAGATACAAAAAACTTAAATATTTTGTTTCAATTTATTAAAACTTGATTCTCCCTTTTTCGTAATCTACCACTGTTACTTTTATTTGGCAATATTACTGGTATCCATTTAGCTTCAATTCAGAAATAACAATACAGTTGTACAATTCGTGCCACGAGCAATCCAACTCGAGTTGAAGAACTTTTAATGCCACAAGCATCAGCTCGAGTTGAGTCCTCACATTCATCTAAAAGATTCGTGCCTATATAAATGCTTACAAAAACTTTGGTCACTTGCATACTAATAGCTAGTGCTTATGCAAGCAACTAAGCATGGCTTGATTTTTCCTCTTATTTGTCACTCTCATTTTTCATTGTAATTTTATGGTAAGCATTCTTTTTATGCAATTACTGTCAAATTGTCGTATTTATTTTGTGGCACTAATTTATTTATTTCCCTTTTTTTTTTTTTTGGCTAATTTTTCTAGTTACAAATTAGATGAGCAGAGAACCTTAGAAGAAACTGTGAACCAAACTTTTTTTTGTAGGTCACAAAAGATGACTGTCCAGTCATTTTCCATGACAGCTTCATCCTCACTAAAGAAAAGGTTAGTTCTTCTCTCTCACTCTACATTTATGTGACAGATGTTCTCAGGCACCCATTAATAGTGTTGTAAAAAATACCCAAAAAGAAAAACAAGAACACAAGCAAGACACTAGATTTATGTGATTCATCCAAAACTAGTGTGACGTCCACGGAGTCACCGAAATTTTACTATGATGAAGAGTAAAACTAATTACAGGCGATCAGATTACAATATCCGCCCATATCCCAACCCCAAAGGAATTTTTCGGTGTATATGAGACAAGGAGACTGCATGTGCCCGGTGGTGGATTATTGAGTGTTCTAAAAGGTCCGACACCACCATTGTCCACTAGAAAAATAAAGAGGACTACATAATAATTGTTAAATTACCAAAAACCCCCACCTTATGGGCAGGGGTTGCATTCCAACCAACATAGAATAATAATCATTAGAAGTTCTTAATGTTCTGACTGTCTCATCGGTTTGTTGACCATTTCAGGGTGCAATAACCGAGAAAAGAGTTACAGAACTCACTCTAGTGGAGTTTCTTTCCCATGGACCCCAAAAGGAGCCCAAAATTGTAACAAATTTTGGCTTGTTCCTTACCTGCTTTTTTCAGGGTATGTTTTGAAATTATAAATTCCCTAATGTTTATTGATAAATAGGTGGAAAAGCCTCTATATAGAAAAACTAAAGATGGGAGAATTTTCGAATGGAATGTCGAAACCGATGCTCCTCTATGCACATTGCAAGAGGTTTTCCAGGAGGTGGACCATTCATTGGGTATTAACATTGAATTGAAATTTGATGATAACATAGTCTACAAAGAGGAAGAACTAGTGAATGTTCTTCAATCAATATTGAAGGTATTTTTCTTATTTGTTTTACCGTTTTGTCGTCCTTTATTTTTCTCCCCAAATTTCTAAGAGTAACATCAACTTAGTTTCATGTGTTAGGTGGTCTTTGAGTATGCCAAGGACAGGCATATAATTTTCTCAAGCTTTCAACCAGATGCAGCCCAACTGATGAGGAAGTTGCAGACCACCTATCCTGTAAGCAAACTCTTTCTTCGACGCTATTATGTTTTCAGCACTTTGCCCTTAATAAGTCACGGTCATAGATTCATCTAAATAACTCTCCATTCCAATCCCATGCTTTTAAAGTACCTTCACGAGGAACATTGGAGTCTATACTATTATTAGTCATATAAAATAATTCATATGTATATAAAGTAATTGCAGTCACACGTATGATTGTCGCATCACTGGGTTTGAATTGTGTCAGTGGAATCATTAAATTTTTTTATTTACAAAATTATTTAAATTTTTTGTAAAAATTTTTAAAATGTCTCCACTCAATTTTTAATAATATCTTACGATATATTATTATTGTTTAAAGTCACTCCTCTTATATAATTCTCTAAATCTGTCACTATGTGGAATGCAAGGGATCCAACGACTGATGAGATGTCACTATCACTCCTCGTTGAAGGAATAGTTAAGTATATAACTGTAGGAATGCTAGGGTACTAATTACATTGTTCTTTATATGCTTCTCTATTTAGGACTATAGGGATTTAGGCAGTTCAAAATATGTAGAAGGCTAATGTTATTACTATATAGATCTTAAAAGAGGTTAGTGTAATTTTCAAACCAAAATGTACCATTCATTAATTTAACATAGTTGATGTAAATGAGAAAAGAATATTAATATAAATTAGTCAATACCTAAGTCACATAAAGCGGGAGCGACGAATTCGAAAGCGGGAACATGAGAGCGGCAAAATTAAATCATAAGTAGTGAGAATTTGAGTGAGAGCGCAAGCGAAGCGTGAGAGCGGGAGCGCGCTCGGAATATGAAAATGACACTTGTTGAGAAAGATTGTGTGACTTAGGTAAATACTAGTTTTGTATTAGTTTCTTAATCTTTCCAAATAGTTAGAGGTAATCCATACTTACTATCTAATATATATATATATATATATATATGTATGTATGTATGTAAAGTGGACCAACGGAACGAAAAACCAAAGCCAACTCAGTAGTGCCATAGGAGTATGGGCTTGCCTTGGGCCCTAAAAAGGCCTGCTCGGGCCTTTGAAGAGAAAGATTTATTGTTCTTGATTTTTATTGTTATTTATTAATTTAAATTACACTTATATTAGTGCTTTATACAACTTTTATTACTTAAAATTAAAAAATGTATTTGTTCAACTTTTTTTATTATTATTTTTTTTATGTAGCAACCTTGTGGTCATGGATCTGGTTCAAGCATAGTGAAGTAATTTAGTGTAAGAAAGCAACCAAAATGTGACAACTTAAATGCTACGTTTTTTGGCCCTCGTGGTGGTTTAATTATAATGATAGAAGTCTCAAAACCATGGGTTACCCAGGAGTAAAGAAAAAGAAAAGATTCTGTGTATTCTCATTTTCACATGCTACATATATATATATATATATATATATATATATATATATATTTGCTAGAAGTCTATCTCATGTATTGCTTCAGGGGGTGACGTATTAAATTCGCTTTAAAATGAAGAAAAACAGCTCTTCTCAATATACTCTGAACTTTTTGCTTTGTGGTTAAAATACTCGAGTCAAATCAACAGCTTCTTTTCAACTATTTGGGGTCCATTACATTAATCTAGGTCACAGGTACATGTTTTCTAGTTTGTTACGATTTAAGATTAAAGTGAATAGCCAGACCGAATAGTCTGACATAATTAATTGCTACATTAGATGTCTTAATGCAGGTCCTATTAGAGACCTATTTTAATGCATCTAAAGGCTGTAAGTGATTAGGTCGGACTATTGGGTCTAGCTATTCACTTTGTAAATCATTTTTCTCAAATTTTGGTATTAGAATTAAGTGATCGTTTCAACATGATTGTTAAAGAAAATGAGATATTTACGCGAACTTCTAGATAAAAATTGCATCAAAATATTTGGAGCCTTGAAAGAAATGTGACTCCTATGATTTGCATGTGTTTGGTGTTATAATGTAGGTGTTTTTCCTCACTAACGGAGGATCTGAAATTTGTGTGGATGTGAGAAGGAATTCTTTGGATGAGGCAATAAATCTCTGCTTGGAAGGTGGCTTGCAGGGTATTGTTTCTGAGGTCAGAGCCATCTTAAGAAATCCAGGATCCATAACAAAAATTAAAGAATCCAAGCTTTCCCTCCTAACTTATGGTCAATTGAAGTAAGTGCCAAATGTCCCACATACATGTTCTTTTACTTTATAAAGACAAATTTGATCCACTCATTAGGATTTTTATTTTCCAAAGTTTTGAAATTTACATTAGTCTAAATTGTATCGAGGATGTGTTTGAGACAATAAAACATTTTCTGACCTTGTAGCAATGTGCCGGAGGTGGTATACGCGCAACATTTGATTGGTGTCGATGGTGTAATCGTTGATTTGGTTCAAGAGATCACGGAGGCAGTGTTGGATTTCATCAAACTAGCCAAGGAGGGTGAAGGGAGTTTGTTTCGAGACAAAGGAGAAATGCGAGGAAAAACAAAGCTCCAATTCTCACAGCATGAGCCCTCATTTCTTTTGAAGCACATACACGAGTTGATAAAGTCCTGAAGTCAAAAAATACATTATTGGGATGTGGCCTAATAGTACCTCCTTTTCTTTTAAAGTGAAAGGCAGGGTTTGGAAGTTTTTCCAATAGTGTTGTGAGAGTAGCGTTGTGTTCATTTATTTTATTTTTTTTTTGAAGTAGATGTTTACTTAAACAACCTCCTCAAATGAATACTCTAATCCTTCATGAAAACTTTTTAAATTTTTCCTAGTATTCTGATTACTTAAAAAGTCTGATACTGGGTACAATCTGTTTCTAGTCAGAATAGAAACACTTAGCACTACAACAATTAAGCTAATAAATGCATTAAAACAACACTTCATCTTTAAGAAGTTTAATTAAAACTAGAAATCTGAAGCTGAAAGACAAATGATTGGAGAGCTAAGTTAAGGTTAAACCTCCAATTACGCTGCTAAGTATGGATGACTACATGTATGAGACACTCATCACCATTATTCAAACACAAATGAGTCTTATTTATAGTGTTAGTTGAGGAAGCTCCTGCACTTAATCAATATCTAAATGGACGGTTGAGATAATTATCTGAAGTCAAAAACTAATTGGGATGAGACATATTGACTGCCACATTTAGTTCTCAGCACGGAGCGCCGCTCGTTAGATCTCTAGCTCTCTGACCCGCTGTCCCCCTAGTCCGGGGCACTAAAGTTCTTTGAAACCTTAACCAAGAAAAACAAATATTTTTAATCTTTAGGCGAGGGGTTATGAGAGTGGCCCATATATGGACTTTGAAGACGAGCGGTATTTGTTTTGAGGCCCAACTCTTTCCTCAGCCTTAGCATCTGCTTGTGGGACCCAGTTGAGTTAAGAAAGTAAAATACCCATTTTGAGTGCAAAGACAAGTTTTAGAGGCAACTAAAAATAATAACCAAAAAAAATATAAAACAACAAATAACTGAGCAGTCTTATTGGTCCTAATGATGTCAACAAAGGTTATGTTTTTTTAACAGAATATATGAAAGATTGGTCAAATATAACATCACTCCAAATCATAGTTCGTCGTATCATTTGATACGCGACTATTTTTTAAGTTCGATACACAACTCGTATCGATAAGTTTACACAAACTTTGTTCGAGTCCGTTATACTGCGATCGTGATTGATACTGCGAATCATGTCTAAACACTTGTACTTTGGACCACTTAACCAAGCCCCAACTTAGCCTAGCCCTTGGTCATGTATAACGTCAACCAAAACATTTTTATTTGGACCTGATCAACCAAACCCAAGCTTAGCCTAGCCCAAATAAGTCATGGTCATGGATTCATCTAAATAACTCTCCATTCCAATCTCAAACTCTCTGTACAAACCATGACTAGATGATGATAAAGCTAAAAGGTTATGATATGAAAACTTGTTTACATGTGCAGTAAAGTTAAAAGGTGTTTTGCTTTTTAACAGTCAGTAAATTTCAAAGAAAGAAGGCAACATACATTTCTTTTACTGTGATTATATAATTATGGTGGGCTGGTTTAGTTCACATGCCCAAACACAACTCATCTTTGTTTCCATGGAATGACCTTCTGAGGAATTTTAGCAAAAGCAACTATATACTCAATTTCCAACCACCCCGTGGGTGTAAAGTACCTTCTATGTACGATGAACCTTGGTGTCTATACTATTATTAGTCATATAAAATAATTCCATATATATATATAAAGTAATTGAATGATGAGAAATACTAATCACAGTCACACGTATGATTATTGCATCACGGGGTTTGAATTGCGTCCGTAAAATCATTAAATTTTTTTATTTACAAAATTATTTAAATTTTTTGTAAAAATCTTTAAAATGTTCCCACTCAATTTCTAATGATATCTTACTATATATTATTATTATTTAAATTAGCCCCCTCTCATACAATTCTCTGATTCTGTTACTACGTGGGATGCAAGGGATCCAACGACTAATGAGATGTGACTATCACTCCTCCTTAAAGTAATAGTTAAGCATATAACAATAGGAATGCTAGGGTACTTACATTGTTCTTTATATGCTTCTCTATTTAGGACTCCAAGGATTTAGGTAGTTCAAAATATATAGAAGGTTAATATTATTACTATATAAATCTTAAGGAGGTTAGTGTAATTTTCAAACCAAAATGAGAGGTTTTGACAACTTTGAGAAATATTTACCATTCATTAATTTAACATAGTTGATTTAAATGTGAAAATTAAAGAATATTAACATAAACTAGTCAATACTAGTTTTGTATTACTTTCTTTTTCTTTTTCTTTTTTTTTTTTTTTTTTTTTAGTTGGTACTTACACACACATGCCTCCATCAAGACTCGAATCCCTAGCTTTCCTTTGAGAAGTAGGAACCTGGTACCGCTAAGCCACTGGCGTATTGGTAATTTCTTAATCTTTCCAAAAAGTTGAAGTAATCCATACTTACTATCTAATGGTTATGTAATACTTAGCGGCCTAATAGGTAAAGTCCAACTCTCCGAGCGGGTGTGTTCATGTTTGAGTTCCCTCTCCTCCTAATTTGTCGGGAATATATATATATATATATATATATATATATATATATATTTGTAAAGTGGGCCGATGGAATGAAAAACCAAAGCCAACTCATTAGTGCCATAGGTGTATGGGCTAGCCTTGGGCCCTAAACAGGCCTTCTCGGGCCTTTGAAGAAAAAGATTTATTGTTATTTATTAATTTAAATAACACTTATATTAGTGCTTTATACAACTTTTATTACTTAAAATTAAAAAATGTACTTGTTCAACTTTTTATTTTATTTTTATGTAGCAACCTTGTGATCATGGATCTGGTTCAAGCATAGTGAAGTAATTTAGTGTAAGAAAGCAACCAAAATGTGACAACTTAAATGCTACTTTGTTGGCCCTCGTGGTGGTTTAATTATAATGATAAAAGTCTCAAAGCCATGGGTTACCCAGAAGTAAAGAAAAAGGAAAGATTCTATGTATTCTCATTTTCACATGCTATATATATATATATATATATATATATATATGCTAGAAGTCTATCTCATGTATTGCTTCAGGGGGTTGGCGTATTAAATTCGCTTTAAAATGAAGAAAAACAGCTCTTCTCAATACTCTGAATCAAAAGCTTATGATCACATCCTAAAGGTTTACCACATTTATTATTCAAGGAAACTTTGGTCAACTTTGAAATCCTTAGCTTACTTTTGAATTTCTCCACCCCCTCTTCTAGAAAATTATTCTTATTGGATCATATTAGTTTACTTGTTCATGTATGTATAATATTATGTGTTTGTGTGTCAATTTAGCATCTATATATATATCTATATATATATATATAGATACACACATTTATTATCCAAAATATACTATGGTTGCATGTTGAGATTTTAAGAGCTAGCTAGCATGATATCTTTTTTTTATTATTGTTGATTGTTCAATCATGTTGAATTTATTATTAGACTAATTAATTCATCCTCGTTGAGCACTATGAAACTCCAATAGTTTTGCCTCATTACATCCCGCTCCATTTCCATTGTGGCGAATTTGATAGCCACTTAAATGAGTTTGGAATTAATATAATAAAATAATTAAAAATTCGAAACGAATTTGGGGTAGAGACAGATTTAGTGATAAACCCGTCCCACTCCGCCTTTATTATATATGTACATTTAAAAATTATATATATATATATATAATATATATATATATTTTTAAGACCTTTATTATTTTGTTGGAAGTATTCGTTAATATATTATTATTCACTTCTTAGTAATTTAAAAATTGGATCAGCTTATTTATCATACCAATTTGAACACATTGAACTAAATTTTTTTCACTAAATAATAAAAATGGCATAACCAGCCTGCCTTCGTAATTAAACATAATACGCGAGACGGAGTCAGTACTTCATCTGTCAGAGTAGGGACGGGAATGGTATACCAATTACAAATCCGTTCCAGAGTTGGAATATTAGAGTTGGTATTACAAATTTTTTAACAAGAAGGAATAAAGTTTAGTCAAACCCGTCCCAACTCCGACCCAATACCATCCCTAATTCGATTAAAATTCTTTAAATCCAATGATGGTCACAGTAATGTAGGCACCAATTTAATGATGCCTCAAGAAAAATAGGGCATCATAGTTGAATGATTGATTGATATAAAGGACTTTATTTGGTCTTCAACATCATTTCCTCTTTTTACTTTGTGCAACTTTTTTCACTTAATAATATGATCAATTGCCCAAATAAGTGAATAACTTGTATTTTGGATTTGATTTTATTAAGTTTGTGGCACTACTTTGTCTTAAACAGGCTGACAATGTTTGATCACTATAGTATAATATTTTAAATAATAAGTGGCAGCTACTTTCAATTATGAAATCATTCTTATCAACATTATGATAAGAAAACCTTATTATAAGGTTTTTCTTTCCTTCTTTGTATAAACTTTCATTTGTTTTCTTCAAACTCCACACACACACACACACACACACACACTCTCTCTCTCTCTCTCTCTCACACACACACACTCTCTCTCTCTCTCACACACACACAGGTGGGCAACCTCAATGAGACTATCAATTTTTTATTTTTATTTTATTTTTTGCAAACAATAAGTCAAGTGAAACATAAATTAATAAAATGTGAAACATAAATTAATAAAATAAAGAACATAAGAGAGCTGAATGAGACCAGATTGATGTGGTTTGAGACATACTCTACATTCATGACACACAAAGTCCTGAGGTCTCTATCTCTTTATTTGATATTTTATTTATTTATTTGGGGACAAAAATACCTATAAATTATATGAAATATAAAATGTCATTTTTGGAAGGAGAATATAATGGAATTACTACAATAATCTATTTAATCAATCTATTTACCAAGTGAATAATTCATTCCAACCAATCTCTTGAAGAAGTACTACAATCATATAAATATCTAATACTTATTTGATTCTCTAATAATATAAGCTTCATTCATTTTAAAAGAAGAATACAAAAAAGGTATTTAATAAATCATGCAATGAGCTTGGAAACTTATTTTGCTGTGTTGTTCTGTCCTTCCATTTGATTCTCTATTGTTCAGGGAAAACCAACTTTCATAGAATATTAAAGGAAAAATTATGAGTTATAAGACCTATAAAAATTTCATAGGGCAATGAAGTCTTACTTTTTATAAATATTTCTAACAACGTTCTATAAGTAGCACAATTCC